GGTTACAACTGAGGATAAGATCAAATTGTCCATTCTTATCTGAAAATAGAGCTTCTGAAGCTTATAAATACAACCCTATGGCCTTCATTCAGAGAGGGGGAAGTTTTGGAGCAATGGCGAAGCCCTGTCGAATTAGAGAGTGAGGAGCATGAATTTCAGCAAGGAGGAAGCAAGTTCTTGGCGAGTTCTTCGACAAAACGGAGGAGAGATTGATAGATCTACAGCCGCTTCAGCCTCATTCATCCGCTTCCATTGAGATCGCACCATTGCTGTGATCTTAAGAAGAGTGTTTATCTCACCGTTGCTGAGATATTCACTTCAATTTCTTGTCTCCTTCGCGAGACAACGAAATTATTCGGATCTGATCATTTGGTGGTCCACGAATAAACCCCGACACTAGCAAAGATTCCACGTAAACAGAAGACTGATAAACGATCTCTCTGCGAGTGTTTTTTAGAAAGTTGTAATTTTTTTAATTTCCTTTGTGTAGAGAGATCTTATAAAAAGACTCCTCTTTTGAATTCGTTGTAAATGCCTGAAGTTGTAATGAATTCCTCAAAGAAATCAACTTTCGACGCGAACAACATGTATGAGGCGGATGACCTGAATTAGTGAGTTTTTATTTTATTTTATTTTTTGTATCTTGGACATCCTTATATGGAAGATTATGAGATGTTTGTATACTTTATATCCTAAACTCTTGTTTGTTGGAATTGTGAGATCTTTTTGGGTATCATTGTGGATCTTTTGTGGACTTTAGCTTGTTTATTGATGACATTGCATGATTCGAATGACCTTAAGTAGTAAATTTTATCTTTATGTATCTTGAAAATTTTTGTATGTGAGATTACATCTTGTTTGTATACTTTATCATATTGTTTGTGTGTTTTGTTAAATGTTTGTGGAGATTTTGTGAAATTTGGGCTTGTTTTTGGATTGTAGAAATTTTGAATGTAGTGTGTATGTACTCTTGAATGTATGCGAGCTATTAAAAATGGATATGTACAGGGAATTTTGAATTTATGATGGTATTAATAGTATGTACAGGGAATACACAATTGCGACAATGTTTTTTTATTGGTTATATACATCTTTGACGGCTAATGTTAAAGAAAACATAATATTCCGTGTCATTTTATAACCACAACTAACCATAGGCCAATATCAACAGACTAATGGTATTTGAGGGACCAATACAAAATATGAATATTTGAAGGACTAATATTAAAATAGGTATGAATTAAGCAACTAGACCCCTATTATTATTGTTCTTGAACTTTCTACTGAGTCTTTCTAAATATAATCCATGAGATAAGTTATTAAGTTATAAAAAGATTCGTAATATTTATTATTAGCTCTTCGTAATTGATAATATTGATACAACATAAATAACATAGGTGCATTTGGCAAAGGCTTAAGAGAGGACGGTTAAGGTGAGTGAATAACTTAGTTAATCCATCATGAGGGTTAAAATAAATTTAAATCCATTTGAGTTAGATAGTTTACAAGAGGAGTTACATTTTTGATGTCTGGCAAATTAGAAAGAGTTAAGTAGGTTAATCCTCTGTTTTTTTAAATACCAACTTTAGCCTTATTGAAAGTAGGAACTTTTCTAATGACTATAACATTAATATAAATTCAACTAAAATTTGCATTCATCTAAATTATAAAGATATTGTCAATTCTATATTAATTATTTAAATAAATGATTGTTGAGAAGACTAATAAAAATCAATTTAAATTAGAAAAAGAATTAAAAACCCATCGTTCTATAGACAAAATGAATAACAATACTTATTGCAAGAAGTAGGTAATCATTTAGGGGCAGTTTGTTTCACCAAGGGCTAAGAATAGGATTAGGAATCCTATTTAATTTATGGATTCCAACCTAATCCATAAAAAATTTATAGACAAGTTTTAGTTTTATGGAATCCCATTTTTTTTGTCATTCAATGTTTGTTTCACCCAAAGGATTAAGAATCTCACTTTTATAGAATTGGTCTAATTCCTAATACCATGTTTGGTTCAAAAAGACCCTTTTTTTTTGGAATCGATACTGTAGCAACGGCTAACCCCTTTACATTTATAAAATCACTGTAGCAACGGATTGAAGCCACCAAAATTCAGATTTCAAGCTGAAATCACTGTAGCAACGGCTATTTTCAGATTCAAAATTTAGATTTCAAAATTCTTAGGCAAAACACTGTAGCAACAGCTAGTAGAGGGCCATGGTGGTTATAAATTCACCTTGAGGCCTCAAAATTAATCCAAGCATTCTCATTTTCAGCATTTATAAAACTCACATTGTCTTCAATTTGCTGCCCCGACATGAAAATGATATCAGAAGAGTGCTGGCAGAATTATGAAGTTTATTGCGACTGCCATCTCCGAACACCGATGAAAATGTGCAAGAATGGTAAAAATAATTGTAGGTGTTATTGGGGGTGTGCAAAATTCCCAAATAAAGAATGCAATTTTTTTGAATGGGCTGAAGAAAGAGGAGAGTCATCAAGCAACCAAGGAAGCCAATATGTCAAAGAAAATAGGTACGAAGATAAATATATTTTGCAATCAAAGAAGCTGAAGAAAGAATTGGGACTTGTCGAAAATCAACTACTAGTTTGGAAAATTTATGCAATTTTCTTAGCAATTTTTTGTGTTATTTTAATTATTACAAACTTCATGTCATGTACCTGTACTTGCAAAAACTACTGAGGATGTAATGAAAACTGTTGTTTGAATTGGGTACAAATTCTAATTGATATTGTATGGCTCAGTAATAGATCAACTTGTCATCATTGATTGCCCCACCTATAACTTAAACATGTTTTGCCTTGCCTAGACATTGTCAATTCAATGTAGGCTGCAATCTCATCCCCTTTTGCCTCATCTGGATATAATAAACGATGTAAGTTAGATTGCATTCTCAGTAAACGCTGATCATCATCATTGCCACATATCAAGTGCAAGGAAAACCACAGGCAAGGAAAACCAAAACAGCAAGTAACCCACAGGCAAGGAAAACCAAAACAGCAACACAAAATGCAACCACGAGCTACACAAGCTCTTAACAAAGTAGCAGCAAACCCAGCAGATAGGGAGTAAACAAGCAACAAACCCTAGCAGATAGGGAGTAAACAAGCAACAAACCCCAGCAGCAGCAGGAGCTGCACAAGCTCCCAATAACAGGCACAACCCCAAAGAGCATCTATGTTACACAAGCTCAAACAAAACAGCACCAAACCCCAGCTGCAGCAAATGCTGCACAAGCTCCAAATAACAGGCACAACCCCACCAGCAGCATGAAAGATACACAAGCTCAAACAAAACAGCACCAAACCCCAGCTGCAGCAGGAGCTGCACAGCATGAAAGATACACAAGCTCAAACAAAACAGCACCAAACCCCAGCTGCAGCAGGAGCTGCACAAGCTCTAATTATCAGGCACAAACCCATATTGTATTGGAGCTACACAAGCTCAAAATAAAACAACAACAAATCCCAGCAGCAGCAGGAGTTGCACAACTGAGGAATAACAGCTTAACCTGTAATAACAAGGAGCTACACAAGCTCAAAACAGACAAGCAACAAACCCCAGCAGCAGCAGGAGCTACACAAGATCAAAACAGTTCAGCAACAAACCCCAGCAGCAGGAGCTGCACAAATTGTTAAATAACAGGCACAAACCCAACAAAGCAAGGATCGAATACAAGCTTAAAACAAAGCAGTTGGCAAACCTCAGCAGCAACAGGAGCTGTACAAGCTCCAAAAAACAGGCACAAACCCAACAAAGATTGGAGCTACACAAGCTCAAAACAAAGCAAGGAATAGGACAAGCTAAAAAAACAGTTGGCAAACCCCAGCAATGCGTGAGCTGCACAAGCTCCCAATAACAGGCACAAACCCAAGAAAGCAAGGAGCTACACAAGCTCAAAACAAATCAGTTGGCAAACCCCAGCAGTAGCAGGAGCTGCACAAGCCCCCAATAACAGCCACAAACCCAAGAAAGCAAGGAGCTACACAAGCTCAAAAGAAAGCAAGGAGCTACACAAGCTCAAAACAAACCAGTTGGCAAACCCCAGCAGCAGCAGGAGCTGCACAAGCTCCCAATAACAGCCACAAACCCCAGAAAGCAAGTGCTGCACAAGCTCAAAACAAAGCAAGGAGCTACACAAGCTCAAAAGAAAACAGTTGGCAAACCCCAGCAATGCGTGAGCTTCACAAGCTCCCAATAACAGGCAAACCCCAGAAAGCAAGGGGCTACACAAGCTCAAACCCAAGAAAGCAAGGAGCTACACAAGCTCAAAAGAAAACAGTTGGCAAACCCCAGCAGTAGCAGGAGCTGCACAAGCTCCCAATAACAGGCACAAACTCACAGAAACCACGTGTGACTATGGAGTAATAAACCCAAGCAACAGAATGTAAAAGCCGACATCAGTAAACCTAAGCAACAAACCCATTTACCTGATATCAAAAGCAAAGGCAAAATTCAAAGAACTCATTGATCATTCCACGACCATACTTACCTGCAACAAAGATTGCAAATATACCAATTCATCAATCCCACAACGACATAGATGTTCTTCATAATAAAAATATATATTGCAACATTAATAGTTTGCAATTAACACAACAATATCCATCAAAATATAATCGAAACCCAACAAACTAGCTATCCGGCCAACCTTGGTCATTAACTAATTTTGTGATGTACCTCTGCTGACCTTCCTTGGATTTTATGAAAAACCTCCTAGCTTCACGTTCATTGTCATATAAATGGTCTAAAACCCTATCGAGGAACTCCTCAGAATATTCAGACCTATGTTCTTTCAACGCTGCAGCCAACTGCTCAGTCCAGTGTATAACGTGTTGATTTCTCATTGACTGAGACATGGACTCAACAAAGGCACATAGCATTTCCTCTTCACGATTAGATTTTCTGGTTTTTTTGTTAGATGATGAAGTCATGTTGTCTTTACTCTTAGTCTTATTTCTAGTGGGTTATGGTTGGTTAACAGCACTAGAATGTGGTTGGTTGCAAGCATCAGAATGTGGTTCAGTTTCACTCTCCTCTAGAATCTCGCAATCATCATCGGGAATAGGTATGGACCTACTAGACCCAATGTTAGCGTACACGGGCCTAACAAAATCACCCTTGGCTTGATCATCACCCATGATAACTTGTAAATTTTTGAAGTGAGGAAGGGGTTTGTTTATGTACGCTTTGTACTTAGAATTGGATTTGTCCTGCAATAATAAATACTTATAAATCCAGAGAATCAAATGTATTAAATTGAATGTGACAAGATAGATGCTGAATTGTTATACCTGGGCCCAAGATTTCAAGGTTTCCTCATCCAATGTAATCATTTTACTTGTTTCATCCCACCCAGCACCACTTATATCAAGGCAAGCTTTCATGTCATTGAATTTGTTCCGCAAACATTTCAAGTGGTTAATGACATGCAGGTGAGTGAAATCAGTCCTGAATTGCATGTTGATTTTCATGGCAGCCATTTTATAAGCTTCAGCCTTGAAGTTCTTGTCTGGCTTCATGCCATCCAATGCTAAATCTGCAAGATAAGGAATAAGCACATCATCGTGCTCTGGAAGCCAAAACTTATTAGCCACGCCTCTTGAGTTCAACCTGGCACACGGAACCTTTTTTTATGGGCTAATCTTTTTCCTCTTTTCAATGGCGAAGTGTGCTCCGCACCATCAACGTCATGAATATCCTTTCCACCTGAATCACCAGTGTTCGGTGAAAATTGATTAGGTCCACTACTTTGAGAACTGGCTGTGGGAAACATCAAACCTTGTGGACTGCCTAACAAGCTCATGTATGACATTGGAGGCTGTGTCATCCCACCATAATTACCATCGTATGGTGGGAATGGTGAGAATGTATGTGGAGGTGAAGTGAATGGCTGTGGTCGAACAGGCATGTAGTTCATGTTAATCCCTGAGGTAGGATTTGGCATTGCATTCGAATGAGAAGACACGCTTTGCTTATCTGCCGGATTGTTAGCCATACCTAATATATTTTGTAAGCATAGCCATATTAACAATAAAGAAATATAAAACAATATGAGATATGTATGCATTTATCAAGGAATATACGAAACGACGATATTTCTCAAACAACATAACAAAAGAGCAACCGATAAAAGTAGTAATGTTTTGGTACAAGTAAAAAAACAATAAACAATATCGATGCGAACAGTATTTTAAAATTCACCAAGTTATTACATAGCCATAGAACAGATGCTACACTAAGTTAAACCGCTCTCCATTGTGTTACCACCATTGTACTTTGCACAATAATCCACCCACATCGCCCAAGCAATTTGATCTCGTAACTCCTTCCATTCATTTCTAACATCTCGATCCTCTCTTTGTGACCTACTTTGAGTATAGTCCATCACATTTGAATCGTCCTCATTTGTCTCTTCCCCAGTATCTTCATCAATTTCAACATTTTCATTGAAAATATCATCAGCCGGATCCTCCAAGGCAATAAAGTTGTGCAACACAGTACACGCTAGTACAATGTCCACTTGAGTGGGAAATGGATAATTCGGCTTCCCCGCAAGAATTTTAAACCGATTCTTCAGTATCCCAAATGTGCACTCAATTTTTGATCTTAAAGATGAATGCCTTAAATTGAACAACTCCTTCCTATTCTTTGGTGTCCTACCGGTGTGCTCTTTTAAATGATATCGGACACCGCAATACAGGGATATGAAACCTGGCATTGTGGTGTATCCAGCGTCACATAGGTAATATTTACCTACATTAATTAAACAGTATTTTAAAATCTAAAATATTGCCAAGTAGTTAATATATTATTCATAATGTGCACAAGTGAAAATGAATACCATCATAAACTCGGAGCCCGTAAGGCTGTGGTCTGGACAGGGCGTCTTGTAATACCCTATAATCATTTGATGCCCCCTCCCAGCCAGCCAAGACATAAGTAAATAGTTTATTAGGGGTGCAGGCTGCTAAGATGTTTTGGGTGACCCCTTTTCGCCCTCTAAACAGTGTAACTAGGTCACTAGGTAACACTGCGTCGACGTGTGTGCCATCTATCAAACCAATGCAGTCCTATAAAAAATTATAAATTATACATAGTTGAATAAAAATAAGTTTATTTGGAAAATTGTTAAGCTGTATGTATTTAACTTACCTTAAAGTAAGGAAAATAATTTGAGTTGTTTGCAATCTCCTCGGGAACTTCTTTTGGGGCTTGCTTCATGTACCGATCACGTAATCCATTCATTGCAGACAAGACTTTATTGAAATACCTGCTCACTGTTTCCCCTGATCTTATGAACTCAGTTCTTATTATTCTATTTTTAGTTTTGTGCCCAACAATACTCAGGACACATCCTCTTCAATTCTTCCTCATCTTCCATATCCATCTACATCCGTTTTAAAATTATCATACAGCTACAGCTTAAGATGGCTACTTATTTCTTGTCAAAATTAATTAGATAATTGATACAAATATTTATTTCTTAAAAAGCAAGAAATCTAATTGAAATGAAAATTATTTTAACTAATGTTGCATTCTATCTCACACAATTAAGTAGAACAACACATTTTACTACCCGTAGGATTTTCATGTAATGAACTTAACCCTATACTTCATGTCATGCATTCACATTCTTTGGTAAACACATATATTAAAAACAACTCATTCACACAAATATCATGCATTCTATTTCACACAATTAACTGAAATTTAGTAAACATGTACCCTATTTTCTGGTAATTATACATGTAACGAATTATCAAGAAAATTATCATTCTACATATACCATTCATCACATTAAGCACGAAGAAATAAGTCTAAAAAAGAGTGCAAAATTTTATACCTAGCTGCAGAGGGGAGAAAAATGACGACGTCCAAGCAACAAAGTTGCCGAAGACAGAGAACCCACCGTAGCCAACAAAATGCTCCGAACCAGAACAAGTTCGAGTAGGTAACACCAAGAATCAAAGGCCAGAAACCCACCAACAAGATCGTGGAAATCAAATTAAAGTAGGTAACACCAAGAATCAAAGGCCAGAAACCCACCAACAAGATCGTGGAAATCAAATTAAATAAATTACGGCGGAAAACGAGGCGGGATCAGATAGGAAGAAGCCGATTTCACACAAAATCGGCCAAGAAACCAGCCTCGGGAGAATCTAGGGTTTCGACAAATAGCCCCGACCCCAAGTAGAAGAAGACGAAGGGCGGAAGAAGAGGCGCGAAGACGAAGGGCGGGAGAACGGCGATTCCAGATCTAGGGCTTGATTTCGTGACGTTTAGGAATCGGAATCGACATTGTAGCCGCTGTCAAAAATCTCACCCAAATCCGCTGAAACATCTCCGATTTGGGTATCTATAAAAAACCCATACTATTGCTACTTCTAGGAATTTGTAATCCCAAAAATTTTTCTGAGCCCAACTCTAGAATAGGATTCACAAAGAATTCAAAAATTATAATTTTGCCACTGTCAGTCCCCAAATACTAATCATTTTCTATAAATTGGTGAAACAAACAGCCCTTAGTCTATGAATAACAATACTTATTTATATAAATAAACTATTTTATTTCAATAAATTTTATATGTTAATTTCTCATTTAATCTCCAAATTAGCATCTTCGATTCTAACATTTCATATGGCAATCATGTGCTAAAAATAAAGATGAAAATATTTCGTTAGTCCCTTAAAAAAACCTTTTATTTAAAAGGAGTTAGTCTCATCTTTTTATTTAGCACATGCTTGCCACAGAAGATGTTAGAATCGGTAATGCTAATTTGAAGATTAAATGAGAAATTCACATGTGAAATTTATTGAAATAAAATAGTTCATTTATTTAAGACTATAAGGAATTCTTTTTTCCTTTTATTAAAACTTACTTCCATGAACTGAAAATTTACCATAAATTATAGATAAGTTCTTTACAACTATTGATTGCTACCTGATGTTTATAATTTTGTTTTATTCAATTATGTAGTATATTATAGGGAAAAATTGCAAAATAGACCGTTTTTGCTAATTATTTAGCAAAATAGACCGTTTTGCTAAATAATTAGCAAAATAAACCTCTTTTTGGCCAACAGGCCAAAAAGAGGTCTATTTTGCAAAACAGCTCAGAAAACATACGGGACTAGTAGTCCCGTATGTTTTAATCACGGATTAGTGAAATTTTCTACTCAGAAAACATACGGGACTACTAGTCCCGTATGTTTTCTGTAGTCCCGTATGTTTTCTGAGTCACTAATCCGTGATTAGTTGGTTCTAAACATACGGGACTAGTAGTCCCGTATGTTTTCTGAGGCTTGTTTTTCAAAATAGATCTCTTTTTTTCTAAAGAGATCTATTTTGCTAATTATTTTACAAAGTGGTCTATTTCGTTATATATTTCATAAAAATGGTCTATTTTGCAAATTTTCCCTATATTATAATGTTTGCCTAAGAACTTCTCTTCTATTCAAGTAGAATTTCTCTTTCTATTGAACCGTGCAATATAGTATAATGTTTTGTGCTGCAATCAAAATAAGATAAATTATGTAGCTTCATCAATTCGTTCGGCTGATTCCAGTACCATCCATATATCATCCTACTAAGAGACCGCTTTTATAAGTCTAGAGGTAAGTTTAAATGAGCAACCATATCTGTTTTATTTTGCTTAAAATTGCTTCTCCTGCCCCTGCGTGAGGAGGTAGACTATATTTACTCCGCCTCCTTACGTAGAATAGTTAGCCCGTCATTTGACGGGCTAACTTGTATTTAAACTTTATGGTACCGTTTGGCAAAGGGTTAAGTGAGAGGTTAAAGAGACTTAACCCCTTATTAACCCGTCAAACATAAAAAAATTTGTTGTTTAGAAATTTAAACCTTATGTGAGATTTTATTAACCCTTAGACACGTTTTGTTGTTTAGAAATTTAAGGAGGGGTTAAACTCTCTTAATAGATAATCCCTTTGTTTACCCGTTGTGAAATGGGGCTATAAGGATTTTATCCTGCGTCAACAAGTATTACCATCGTCAGTGGCGTAGCCAGGATTATGTTTTGCCCTGGGCGAAAAATAAATGTGGCCTACAAGTATGTCGTGAATCTAACTCCTCTGCCATTTATTCTGTGTCAAGGCTGGAAGTAATTTCTTTTTTCAATATAAAGTATCATGTTATTAGCAAGCAATTCATCTCCCATCTTGTTGCGCAATGATGTTTTTATGAGTTTCATTACAGAAAAGGTTCTTTTCGTGCTTGCAGTCGATATAGGAAGAGTCAACACGAGCCGAATCAAAGTGGAGAAATTTTAGTAATCCTAGTCCATTGTTGCATGTACACCCCAAGGATTTTTAGCACTAAAGATGCGGCAAAGAATATTTGCAGATATGGGCCAAATACCAAAACGTGATATTTTAATTGTTCAATGGCTTACTTGCTAAATTCTTGCCCTGGGCAGCTGCCCAGGGCAAGCCAAGGCTGGCTACGCCACTGACCATCGTCCGGTGCTTCTCTAGCTTTTGAACCTGAGGCTTCCCAGTAGATCAATCTCATATACTCGAAGATCAAAACCATACACTCTTAGGCATTAAGTAAAGTTTCCTTACAATATGATCGATTTC